TACATACATACATATGTATAAAACATGTTGATAATTTTAAACATATGATTTTAAACACATTAAATTATTCTTTTCACTTATATATCAATGAAACGAAGCTTTTTCACATTTTTCTTGTTTTTTTGAAAAATTCTTCTAGAACTTCGTCAACTGCAAAATTTATTATTATTTATTTTTTTTTATTTATCTTTGTGAATATTCATACATATATGCTAGACCGTTGAGCCTTTCTTGACCTGAGATATTTCTCAAGTAGGTTTTAATCCTTTCCAGGCATGAAAAACTTCGTTCAGGTGTAACTATTGAAACGGTCAAAGGTGCCAATACGCGCAAGATCTTAAAAATATACCCAAAATACGTTGTATTCATTATTTGTTACCACATTTTTAACTCCCCAAGAAAGTTTTGTTTCGAACAGTCGATTAAAGGTTACAAAGAAACTGGACTATTAAAATTATAGTACCAGGTTGACTGAGCTTTAATCGCGTAAATGTTAGGGATGTTAATTTTTTCGCTTTTTACGATCCCAGGATTTTCGAGACGTCGTTACATAATCCCAGGATTAGTCCCGTGATTTTGATATTCATTACTTTTCAACAACTTAAATCGAAAAAATTGCTTCTATATTATTTGAGAAGCTCTCCTACCATAAAATAAATAATAAATAAACGGCTTTGAAACCTACTTTTTAATTTAAGTGGCGTTTTTATTTTTTCTCTCTGACGTCAGGGTTTATTTTAAAGGACTTTTGTAATTTAAAAAATATGATTAATTCCAAAAATTATTTAAAAAATTGAGTGCAGTGTATTTAAAATAAAAATATAGGTTCCAAATGGGTTCCTCATCTTCTTTAGAATTAAAAAAAAATTAAAATTTTTTGGATTCACAAGGACGAATAGGTAATGTTTTAACGGGCGACGCATATATGCCAGCCGAAAAACGATAGAAAGCTGAAAACTTACTTATTATAGAATTTAATGGGGAACAAACCTAGGTTTTTATTTTTCCAAAAACCCCTTTTTTAAAAGTTTAATTTTGAGCACGCTTGTGTGCGTCAGAGTGAACAACTAAAAACGCAGTTTTACTACATAAATTTTACAAAATTAAAATTTACTATCGCATGGTATTGTATGTATATATAATGAGCTAGACATTTATAAAAAAATATTAATTATTAAATAAAAAAAAGTATACCCAATACTGCTCAAGAAAAGGAATTTCTATTATCGCTATCAGTGCAAAATACACCGTGCGACAAAAACCAAAAATTTTTAAAACACACGAAAAAGTCAATACATTCCCAAAACTAGGAGCCAAATATAGTGTATCCGTGTTTTTAACTTTTTTCTCTGACGTCAGGATTTTTTTAAAGGGCTTTGAAATTTCTAGCATATGATTGAATAAAAAAATTATTTAGAAGATTTTGTGCATTGTATAGTAACAATATGGGTACCAATTAAAAGGAAAAATTCTGTAGAATTAAAAAAATTAAATTTTTTGGTGTACCAGGATGAATAAGTGTTGAAAATTTCCTTTTAAAACTTTATCCTTGAATATTCTTGGAAATTTCCTATATTTATTTAAAAAAATATATATATCAAAGACTAATATGTAAACTACCACATCCTCGAATTTCGTCCTTCTAATTTTATTAGTTTTATATAAAAAAATCCGAAACCGAGATATGGGACTTCGAAGTTAAAAATATGATCTTTGGTAAAAAATTATTTTTTAATATTATTTGTAAATAACTAAAAATATAGACGTGTCCGCCTTTTGCTCTTATTCAAATGGTATATAAATTTTTTTGTGCGAGCTTATATTACAGGCGCTATAAGGTGTCAAAGTATGGGTCTTCGAAAAATTAAAAACCTTATATTTCAAAAAATTTTGAACTGATTTTTAAAAAATTAAAATCGTTATAAACGTGATTAAACTCCCTTTCTTCTGATATTTATATTTGTATACTTCGTATGTAAAAATTTGAGCAAAACATTTAAAAGGAAAAAATACCTTTTTTATATAAAAAAATATTTTAAACCAACAAATTACTAACCGATTTATAAAAAATTGATATCGTTGTAAACGCAATCAAACCTTCTTTCTTCTGATATGCGTATTTGTATTATTCGTATATAAAAATTTGAGAAAATACACTTAAAAGGAAAAAATACCTTTTTTTATACATACAAAAAAATTAACAAAGAAATTACTAACCGATTTGGCAAATGGATTTTATGTAAAAACGGAATCTTTTTTTAATATGTAATGCCGCTTCTTTATTTATTCGGATTAATTTTCCGTTTACAAAGGGTTGCCAAACTATCGATGGCACTATCGATAGTATCGATTGTTTATTTTTTTGGAGACTATCGCAGGCCATCGATGGTTTTTGTCAAAACTATCAAAAACTATCGATGGTGGTATGTACCAGAGATGTAGAAATGCATTAATTTTTTACTTAAAGCACTAATATTAATGTAAAAAATTAATGCCTTAATTTTTGAAATTTAAAGCATTAATTTTTGAAACTTAATGCAAATCAAAATTTCAATGCATTAATTCTGGAAAATGTAATGCTAATGAAAATTGTTTTCATTAAATGCTAATGCTAATGAAAAAATTTTGTTGCAATAAAATTTTTAAACGTTTTGTTCGTTTGAGTTAATAAAAACAATTAAATTTATTTTCTAGTGAAATATAAATAACCTCTTTTGTAAGGACTTCGAATAATTACTGGTAGTTTTTCCAGCTTCATTCTACAGGGTGGCGCCGAATGAGCTATATGGTTTAAATGGTTTATAATTTTTTAATTTATGCGATTATTATAATATTTTTTTTTGTAATACAGTATATTATTGGGGAATTTTTTGCAATTGGGTTTGATGTTCATTTTCTGCTTCGCACAAACGTAAAGAGCACGTTAGCATATTTTCCATAACTTTTCGCAGAATTTCGGGTGTAATGGCCATGATTTCATTTCGAATGTTGGTTTGGAGTTGGAGAATGGTTCTTGGTTTGTTAACGTACACTCTTTCTTTCAAATATCCCCAAAGAAAGCTGTTAGAAAGAATTCAAACCATATAGCTCATTCGGCGCCACCCAGTATTATAACCAAAAATTTGAGGTTTTTTTTGGCCGAAATGACGATTTTTTCAAGGTAAAATGACGATTTTCAGCAAAAGCATTCGGCAACGCTGCTGGCAGGTCATTTCCAGGCGTGGATCCCGTTGGTATAGAGTAAAAAAACTGTTATAAAGAATCCAAACCATATAGCTCATTCGGCGCCACCCAGTAGTTATAAGGTGGGCGGTGCTACGCCCAATTCCTAAAAGTCTATAGCAGTCTTATTTATTGTTAGGAGATTGTTGTTACTATTAACTTGAAGTAAATCAGCGTCCTCAGTTATTGAAATATCGGAGCTTTCGTATTTCTGAAACTTACCGTTATACGAGAAGCGGGTGTAATTTTAGTCCGATTTGAATAATTTTCAACAAATTGCTTTTCCGTACCCAGGTTATTAAGTGCACCGAGTTTGGTGGAAATTGATGAATCGGTTAGCGAGATAAAAAATTGTGGTCATAAATGGGCGGCGCCACGCCCATTATCCAAAAATTTATAATAGTCTAATTTTTTACTAAGTGGTCATTGCAATAATCGATATTGTGTCAAACAGCTTCAGTAGTCACTGATTTATCGCAGTTTTCGTGTTTCTGTAAATTTCCGTTATATGGCAGGTAGACGTGGTTATTGTCCGATTTCAAAAATTTTCAACAGATTTCTTAGCTAGACCCTGTATTGGTATTGATGAAGCGGCTACTGAGATACAGCATTTCATCATATGTAAGTTGGCGGGGTCACGCCCATTTTCCAAAAATTTCATAACAATATTATTTTTTATCACAATTCTACTCCACATACTAATTTTCAACAATTTGCATCCAATATTTACTGAAATATCGCAGTTTATGCATTTTTCGAAAATACCTTTATATGGGAAGTGGGTGTGGTTACAGTCCGGTTTCATACCGGACCAACCTACCTTGAATAAAGGGCAACCTACATATAAAATTACGTTGAGATATCTCAATTTTTGCTCGAGTAATCGTGTACACGGACAGACGGACGGACGGACAGACAGACATGGCTTAATCGACTTCTCTTTATGTATGATCATTTAAGTATACATTTGTCCATATCTATCTCGATTCGTTTTGGCTGTTACAAACAACCGTTATGCGAACAAAGTTAATATACCCTTGTGCACAAGTGCGCTCTTGTATAAAAATTGCTTCTATATTATTTGAGAATACCATAAAATAAATAACAAATAAATGGGTTTGAAACCGACTTTTTTTTAAAGTGGCGTTTTTATTTTTTCCCTCTGACGTCAGGATTTATTTTAAAGGACTTTGTAACTTCAAATATATAATTAATTCCAAAAATTATTTAAAAAAATGCAATGCAATGGAGAATAAAAATATGGGTACCAAATGAAAAAGGAAATTTCTTTCGAATTAAAAAAAATTAAAATTTTTTGGATTCACGAGGACGAATAGGTAATTTTTTAAGCTGATAAAGTTAGAAGGACGAAATTCGAAGAGTTTATATAAGTCCTTAAAACACTATTTTTTTCAAAAACAAATATTGCGAAATTTCAAGGATAAAATTTTAAAAGGACAATTTCAATACTTACCAGCCCTTCTGCACCAGAAACTTGAATCTGTTTAAATTCTACTGGATTTCATCATTAAGTTTGTTACCCATATTTCTTCTCTAAGCACATTTCACAGAATTTTTTAAATATGTTTTGAATTACTGACGTAAGAGTGAAAAACTAAAAACGCAATTTTAGTATATTTGGCCCAGGTTTAGCGAATATAATGATTTTTGTGTATACAATTTACTATCGCACGGTGTTATATGTAAATATAATGAGCTAGACATATATAAAAAATATAAGCTATTAAATAAAAAAAGAAATATAGCCAATACTGGTAAAGAAAAGGAGTTTCTGTTATTGCCTCAGTGCAAATTACAAATCTCGAAAATCCCGGGACTATCTGCCAAGAATCCCGGTATTTTCGGAACCTAAAAAAGGCGGGATACCGGGATTAATTTTTGGGAAGTACGTATCGATTTTCCAATTAGCTTAACCGGCGGGTACTCTACCACGTCCTTGAAACATCATCATCGATTCTGGTCCTCGAATAACCCTCGACATAAGCTCCCAGCATACTTTTGCAGGCAAGAGGCTGTTCAGAATATACAAATGTACATATAAGAACATTTTACATACATACATACATACGTACATATTTTAGCAACTATACATTTTTTTGTCTTTTTTGCTTAATAACTCACCATTTCAATGGAGTAAGCATGCGAATCGAGTTGGGCAACACACACCAAACTTCGTTCTTTCGAACTGCCTCTATGATACGATCAGCGACATATTGCGGCTCCAACATTGGAAACATGCGCGGTCGTACGCCGGAGAACATGCCGGTATTAATGTAGTATGGACAGATCAAAGTCATTTGAATGCGATCGTAGCCATGTGCTTTTAAATCGGTCAGCAGGCTTTCATGGAAACCGATACAAGCGAATTTCGTGGCACTGTAATCACTGCAGCCGTAGGTGCCCAGCATGCCAGTCACTGATCCTACTGTAACAATGTGGCCAAGGTTATTTTGCATCATATGTGGTAGAAATGCTTTTACAGTCCAATAGTGCGAAATTATATTAATGTTGTAAGTATTCTGTATGACTCGATCGGGAAGATCCCAGAACGGACGACAGCAGACGACACCTGCATTATTGCAAAGGATTTCGACATTACCCACTTCGTTGATGGTCTGTGAGGCTCGTTCATATACTTGCTCGCGATCGGAAATATCAACAACATATCCTTTGCAGGTAAAACCATTCCGGCCGAGTAAATCAACAGTAGTTTTAATGGCTAATGAGTTTAGTATTGTAAAATTTAGGAGAAAGTAAAAAAATATATGCACATACATAAGTACACATAGTATGTGTCGATTTTTTTTCTTCTTACCTTCTTGGTTGATGTCCCAGACTACTACACGAGCATTTAGTTTAGCAAAGTTCAACGCCAACAACCGGCCAACTCCACCTCCACCGCCAGTGATCAATACTACTTGTCCTGAAATCTCCTAGAATTAGAAGAATAAAAAAGGGAAATGCATCAATATTAAATTCAATGGTATTATTTATGTAGTTTCATAAACACAAGTATTTAAAAAATATATGTATTAACCCGTAATTAAGCGCGGGGTAATTTCAAATTGAAAAAAAATGTAGGGGAGAGTTTGAAAGCTCTCGCGCTCGCGCTTGCGCTCTTTTTAGCTTTCTAGCAGTGAACTGCAATAATTTGCCTTTTCAAGTCATTGCTTGACTAACACAAGTTAGAGGATATTAATCGAGATAGAATATGCACTCCTATACGCTACCCAACGGCGCATCGCTGAATGGGGTCCGTCTACAATATGCACTACACAATTCAACAAATAATTGATTACAACACCACTGAACAATGGAAAACTGTGATCAACATTGTAGGCAGTCTTTATAAAATGTAGATTACAATTTAGAAACGAATACTTAATTGTAATGAACGCCCGAAGAGTGTTCTACTAAAATGTCCATTGAAACTTTTTTTTAATATTGATTTTAAACTAATTTTAATCTCGAATGTATTTTTTATTTTGGCTTCAGCGCTACCTAGCGGTTGCATTTTTTGCAAATCTATGTGGTACTATGACCTTCCGCTGGTGGGTATGTGGCAGGATATCAACCCGCGCCTTCGGCGATGTTAATTAACACACTTACCTGTACATAAGCAAACACTTATTAAAATGCAAAGTGGCCATTCTTTATTATAAAAAGGCACCAATATTTATATAAAATTTTTTGAATTTGGTGTCTATATTAATGGGTAACCGATATTTTACAGCGATACTTTAAATAAGTACTATATAGTATATAAGGAGATGACAATCGTTCCCCAAGGTGTATCAGTATGCTATTCATAATACGTGGGTAGTCGCTTAGAATATGATCTGGAGCTGCCTCCACCAGAACACACAACCTGCATCCCGTCTCTACAGAAAGCCCAATATTATTCAAATGGTTCCTTAACTTGCAGTGCCATTTCACGTAGCCTGTAAGAGTTCTAAAACCCTCCCGGCTAAGTTCCATGAGTCTTTCGGAGTTCCTCTTGAAAGCTCTTTGATTGTTTCATTCACTTTGACTTGTCCGGATCCCACAATAGCTTTACGCTATTGTAACGTGGTTCAAAGGTGTTTTACAGCTGTCTACAGGCCTTGATGCCGTTTTAAAAAGTCTGAGGCTTTTAACACTGCCTGACTATCCGACATAATATTTATTTTGGCCCCATTTGTCCTTCTGCGAAGACATTGGCGAACAAAGACTTCCGCCTTAAATATGGTTGGCTATGTGCCCATTGGAAGACTTTTCTGGAATCTTGGTCCATGTAGGCCTGCCCAGTACTGCCGTCGTCCATATTCGACCCACCGGTGTACCACACTTGGTCAGAGCCGCATATGTAACGACGAGTTTTACTACTGTATTAAATAACCAATACGTTAGTTTTGGTGATATTCCTCCACGACATATCATGCAAATTTTTTCCAGAGCTGCCCTAGATACGTCCTCTCCTGAGAACTTAATTTATGTCCCTGCCAAGGTTGGTCTAATCGAGTTGACTTTCCTTCTCTATGTATATAGGACAATGGTGAACTTCACTGGGTTTATTAACAAGGCCTTTTCAGTACACCAGTCTTTAGTGCATATATGTATGTACAATTGTACATCGTGCATACGCTAGTGATCAGCTGATTAATTTAAGTAATATTTCGACCAGTTTTGGATTTTGTTTTTGTCTAATTAATGTTTATATTTTTTTAAAACCTTTTGCACATTAAATAACCAGCACCACTTTTATAAAACATTATAAGCATTAAACCAACAAAAGAAAAATAACCAAAACAGGTCAAAATGTCACTTAAATTAATCAGCTGGCCACATTTGTACATATGAGGAAGTGAGAGAAGTGGCCTAACCCAAAACTATCTATTTTTGTACTACCCACTTAAACTAGTCTCAAATGTTATAAGTTTAAAAATAAAAGTCGCTCATTCCTTAATTTTAAGGTACAGAGCTACATAGCGTACTATCAAATGAAGGAATAAGCGACCTTAATTTTTAAATGTATAATTTTTGATACTATTTTAAGACGTTAAGTACCAAATAAATTTGGTTAGGCCACTTCTGCTCTCATGGCCTTATATGTAGTTTCTCAAAACTGTAGTTCAGTTCAATTTAAATTAACTTGTAGGCACATAAAGTATATATGAATCTTCATATTGTATATTGGAATTGAATTGAGGGTATACGTTTGTACTTTAAAATCGGGTATATTTATGTACATGTTTGCGGTCGTCGTTATACGAACACACGGTGAAATGTGCGTGTAAATAAGGTTGCTAAAATGTTTGGAGATACATATTTGGCAACGCTGCCTATCGAGCTTTTAAATCGCTTAAAATAAATTTCGAATGCATATTTTCGCCAGCCCTGATTATTATAATCTAAAATACATTATTTGAAACCATACTTACTATATTTGATAACAATATAAAACATTAACCATTTAACATAAGTGACAGCTCGATTTGAAACTGCCTTAGCTCAGTAGAATGAGAAGAAAAACGGGAAGAAATGAATCCCCATATGGGGGAAAAATATAAAATTTCACATTTTCTCCTAAACAAAATTTGCTTTTTTATAGAATATTCGTTATGAAAAAAAAAATAAGATAAAATACCTTTTTAAGAAAACAAAGTGTGTATACTGAGAAAAAATAAAAAAACATTCAACTATATTAATGGGCAAAGAAAAGTTAAAGAAGTAACACTGTTTCACGTAAGGCAGTTAATATGGCGGAATTAGAGCGAGAAGTTGCCAACTGATAACACCTTGTATTATTGCATCATGGCTTTCGGCTATGTCTTAGACTTCAATATAACGAATTTTAGTCCGAATCTATACCTTTTACATGGAGCACCATCTACGATGATTTTCTTAGTTGATGATAATTGATTCTTTGATTTATAAGTAGAAAGCTCAGAAAACTTCACGGTTCTAGCTATCTATTGTGCCATTTCAAGGTGACTAGGGGGACATTTTACTCCAGAATGTGATCAATTGTAAATTATAACTATGTCGTCGGAACCTATACAGCAGTGAGTAATATCTTTTAATATAGAACGATAACTAATGTATAACCCCCCATTAAAAAATTTTCCAAACGATTTCTTAGTTCTATGTATCTTTGTTCCAGCGCTTATGCCCTTGTTTTTCTAAAATCAATCTAAGAATTGTTTTTGAACTAATAACTTTTCTTAACTGTACAGAATTATCAACAAATTTACCTTGCACATCACTCCAGTTTAATACAGATTTGTTTTTGTTGCTGTTGTTCTTCCCTGCATAATTTCTTGGTACCGATGATTTTTTGGCTTGCGACACTTTTTCATAAAATAACATTTCTTTGGGCAATTACGACAAATTATTTCCTTCGCTTTGCACTCATTAATGCGACCCGGTTTCCACGAGTCCCCACAATTGTATCAGAAACGATTTACTTCACCGACGATAGTCGAGTCCGATTTGTCTTTTATTATCCAAGACACACTTGTTTGCGTTGGCTGTTTCGTAAGTTTTTCAAGTAGCAATAATGCGCGTTAGTTCGTCATCCCGACCATCCAAGAGTTTGAGCAGTAATTTCTTGTCAAACACACCTACAACAATACGATCACGCAGCATTCGGTCCTCGTAGGAGCTACCACATAAACACTTGAACTCACAGTGCCGTAATCGAATTTCGAATTCATTGAATGATTGGTGTTCTCTTTGCACAATCATGTTGAACTTGTATTACTCCATCGCCACGTTTCGTTGAGGCAAGCAATGATCATCGAATTTTTGCAGAACCTCCTCTAATGTTCGCTGTTGGACAACTTGTTTAACGCGCGCTGGTTCTTGCTCCACACCTTCAACAATGGGCACGTTCAGAAGGCGCAACAGCTCAGTAACTGTTGCGATTGCACCTTCTGAACGCGTCGTTTTGCACTTCTGATCTACTGAACAGTTGCGTGTTAGATGATCGTAATTTTTTTATGATCATTTGAGACAACATGTTGTGTGTTTTGAATTTGACAGCTAATGTATCAATCCGTTCAGAAGGCGCATTATGATCACTGATTTTTTTAGCAACGGTTGCGCTCAACTTCTGCGCCTTCTGAACCTACCCAATCACGGCTGGTATTTGGCGCTCAAACTTGACTTGGCCCAGCAGTGAATCTTGGATTTCATCATTAGGGTATAATGTGTTATATATGTATATTTGTACCCTGTGTGCCTTGCAGCCAAACAAAACGTGCAATTTTTGTTGGATCCTGCTCTTTTGCCTTACCGCTGGCGATTAGGTATACCATGAAGTTGAGCTTCCAATTTGGCCACTCCGTCGCCAAATTTGTGCAATCCAATTCCGCTGGTGTACGCTCACTCATAATTTTTCGGCAATTCTTGATAAAATAGCGAAATATATATTTTGTTCGCCACTTCCGACACCATGTAACACGCTCGACGTGTTAGTAAATAATTGGAACGCAATATATAGTGGATGGCTTGAGATTTTATTTATTACAATACGGTACGTTTAGTTTATTCAGCGATTCCAATTGAAAAGGGAAGACTTGGTATTTTCTTTAGAGATGTGTGATGTGCTAAAATTACCAATTAATTGATACAGGACATTTGTCGCATAATGCCCTGTTTACACATTGATATTAATTGCTCCTTCCTAATGCCCTGCTTACACGTACGATCTTATTACAAACTCCCCCGTGAATCAAGTTGGATGCCTGTAATTTAACGTTATTTGACAAGTATATCCCAATCGCCCCCCTCAAATAAAATCCTGTATCCGCACTGTATGGGAAAGCAATTTTTGTTTGACTAAATTTGGCAGCACAGCTAAACAATTTTGGCTGCACTAGTATACATTTTGGGGGCACTGATGAGTTTTGACAATTAAGCTGAAATTAGTCAAGAACGTAAACCTACTGGT